GAGGGCATTTTGTAAGGTGATACTATTATGATATCTTGTCCAGGTATTATTATTTTTTCAAATTTCTTACAGAACTTGACTCTATATGAGAGAGAACTAAGACACCAAAATACCAAGGATTTTGATGAGTGGATAGAAGGAGAGGGTTGTAAATTTTGACTGAAAATATTAAGAATTTGAAAATGGAAAAGATACCTTCAAGTTCTCACAAATACAGTAGTATGTTTTAGTCTTACAGTTATGCATCCATTTTTAATTTCTGATATCAACTAACTCTTATTTTGAAACAGAATAATTATCTTTATTGATTATACACCTCCAGAATCATGTCCTGTGTTATCTATCAATCTGTTTGCATACTTTGTTTTTAGAGTCTGTCCTAATGTGTCTCACAAGCATCACAATTATTATTACTGTTAAGTGTGTTGAATTCATTTTATTTTCTTGAAAATATTTTAGGTGAGAAAAGTTGGGTAGAAGAACCATGTGAGAGCATTAATGAGCCACAGTGCCCAGCAGGGTAAGATTATATTCTGAGGTATTCCTTTTTTCTTTTGTAGAAGTACAGCATCATTTTTTCCTTTCCAAATTAAGATGATAAAAATAATAAAATCACTGACTTATTAAACATTACAGGTTGTGTATCCTGTATCCAAAATGTTTGGTATGAGAACTGTTTTGGATTTTGGATTTTTTTGGATTTTGGAATATTTGCGTTTTACCAGTTTGAGCATCTCAAATCTGAAAATCCCAAATGCTCCAGTGAGCATTTCCTTTGAGCATCATATCAGTGCTCAAAAGTTATGGATTTTGAAGCATTTGAGATATCAGATTTTCAGATTTGGGATGTCCAACCTGTGTTTTTAGCCAGATCTTGTGTTTGGCAATGGTGGAACAGAGATTATTATGGAGTTATCCCTATTCTGGAAGTTTATAGAAAAAAGAGAGGTCATGAATATTTAGTCTTTAGTATTGAAGAATGCTAGATAGAAATATTTGCATTTTCCTTTTCAGGAAGGAAGGATCTTTACTTTCATTTGGAGTTTTGAGAGCTGCTAAACTTGTAGAAAATTTAAGTTCTTTTTTTTTTTTTTTTTTGTATTTTGGTCCATTTATACATTTTTGGGATAAACAACCTGTTTGTGAGAGATGATACGTTTTTTAAAATAATTCATGTTTTTTTTTTTTGTCCTTCAAATATTTTGTACAGGGTCTTCCACATATGACACCGTCGAAAAGAGTGTGTGTGGAATTTAAAGGGTGAAGATTTTATAAAGGTGTTAGGTGTATTTATCTTTGTTCCATTTGAGGTCTACCATCTCATCCATTTGAATTATTCATCTTCAGAAATGTATTTTTACCTCTTTAAAATGATAGTTTTCTTAGACTATTAAAATTTTTAAGCTGTATTTTAGTTCATTTTGTTCATGTATATAATTTTTGTTATATGTCTTCTTTTTTTCTTTTGGAAGGAAGAGTACTTTTGATTTAAATAAGCAGGAGCAACAGCAGCCAAAACTAAACCTCAACCAAATGATTTCAACAGAAGAGGCTTTTTTTAAGGAAAACTTTTCATGTACCCTAAACTGTCTTTTAAATCCAAGGAATACTAGGAATGTTAGACTTAGTGAATTTCAAATCTTTCTTTTTCTTCTAAATATTGCTTATAATTTTTCAATTGTAATATTGAATCTTTTAGTGGAAAACATAACCCTTTCTTTACAAGAAGATCGTAACTTAGGCCACTTATTATTACACTGGATAATTTACCAGTGTGTTTACCTGATGGCCCACTAACCTGCTTTTATGATTTCTGTTGATTGAATAAAACTAGTTTTATATAGTTTTATTTGGACCATTAAGACTATATACACTGGTTCTGCAGAGTCTCTCAGTGGAGCTATGTTACAGATAGTAGCTAGTGAAAATTGTATAAAAATTTTCTCCTTGTCGGGTTGCTTTTGTGTTTGTGTATGAGGGTAAGATGGGAGGAGGCAGAGTTGAAAAGGCAAGGTAAGATATTTGCTGTCAAATTTAAATTTTCTGAGTAAACTTTCAGTGGGAAGTCTTCTCACAGTTATCCAGTGTTAAACTGCCAAGAGCAGCTCGGCTGGGGAGACCCTAACCCAGCAGCGCTAGAGGAATTAAAGACACACACACAGAAATACTGAGGTGTGAAGTGGGAAATCAGGGGTCTCACAGCATTCAGAACTGAGAGCCCCGAACAGAGATTTACCCACATATTTATTAATAGCAAGCCAGTCATTAGCATTGTTTCTATAGATATTAAATTAACTAAAAGTATCCCTTATAGGAAATGAAGGAAGGGATGGGCCAAATTAAAGGAATAGGTTGGGCTAGTTAACTGCAGCAGGAGCATGTCCTTAAGGCACAGATCGCTCATGCTATTGTTTGTGGCTTAAGAATGCCTTTAAGCGGGT